GACATTGTGCCCGACAACATACTTAGTTATTTATAATAATAATGTAGTTCATAGAACGTATTCAGTTTTTGTAGGTGCTGCCGAGCTTCAGGCAAAGCAGCACTAAAAATACGGTTTTAAATACCTACGTGATTGTCGTTTATTATTGAAACAGAAACGCTATTAGTTACTATGATAGAATAACAGTTTTTTTTTAATAATACTCAATCATCAACTTTTTCCTTCACTAAATATCTCTCAAATATTTGTTTCAAAGCAGCACTAAGCAAAATCTGACTTGTTAATGGTTAACAATAGATGGCGTTGTACTTAATTAAATCGCGGTGATGAAGTTACTCCGGCCGCAAATATATACTTTAGACGGACATAAAGCCCGTCAACATAGTTATATTATAATGTAGGCTATATTTATAGAATTAAGTACGATCACTTTTTGTAGGTGCTGACGAGCTTGAAGCAAAGCAGCACAAAAAATACGAAACTCTAAGTTCAGCTATACATCAACATTAGGCGCTGCTTAGCAAAACTAGGCAGCGCTTCCAAAAATTTATTGTTAGCATGATGATTAACAACTAAGTAAGTACTTAACCTAAGATAACATATTAAACAGCAGTAATCTGACAAGTTACCACAAAGTAAATTAAAAATTGTCATCAATGGTCAAATAGGCGCGTAGAAAAACATTATCACCGTGAGTCAAAAACGGATAGTGACATCTATCGGTTTATAAATGAAGTTAGATTGTCAACAGCAATGTGATAATTAAAAGTGTTGTGTGGTGGTAAACAATCATTAATACAAGATGTTCGCATAATATTCAATTTTGTCCCTTAGTCGGCTTTTACGACATCCACGGGAAGAGTGGGAGTGGTCCTATTCTACTCTGCCGAAACCACACGGCACAATTAATATAGAAGTCAAAACAATGACAAAAGATTCTATGTCTCAGCAATAGATGTCGCTGTATGTAGTTGAACCGCGGTGATAAAGTTTTTCCAAGTCTGTATAAGTTGTTAGATTACTTTCAAACGGCAATAATCAAAATTGTGATATAGTTTATAAGTAGTTATGTAAGCTATGTTACGTTTTAGACACAATTTTAGATAAGTTATGTCATATTGAAATCACGTTATGGCTCATTTTTTAAAACACTACCTGCTTTGGCCAAGTAGTTGTAGTGTTTTTTTTAGCACATTTACTCCAATGATCTAGCTTTTGTAGACACTGGGTATTTGTTACGACCAAGCGGCCGGTAGTATTAGAAACCAATTAGATAACGGGAGCTGGTATTTAGACCATTATACCTACTTATCTAGTACTTTATACACGGATGTGGTTATCAGAGCTATGTAGGTACAGCTAATTGCCACTTAAATGAATAAGTAATGAAAACTAATGACAATTTAGTTGGTATGTCCTTCTAAATCATACGTCTATTATCAATTTAAGTATCTACTTAAGTATTTAAAAAGTCTAGGACTTAAAACAGTACCTAAACAAATCCGTTTAAAGTTACAACAGCGTCTGAAATCGTGGTTCTAGCATCAGACAAAAAGATTCTTAGTAGGAATAATAGATGTCGCTGTATGTAGTTGAACCGCGGTGACGAAGTTTTCCCAGAGGTGTATAAGTTGCTAAGTAACTTCAAAACGGATGTGTGATAATCAATATCAGATAATTTTATAATATAACAGCCAATTTTTGTAAACTGCACAAGCTTGGATTGCTGACACGGTGGTTTTAGAATCTGAATCGAATGGTATTATAGTCTACTCACATTAAACGATATTTTATATTAAGTACTTATTCAAGAAGTATAGGACTTAAAACAGTACCTATACAAATCCGTTTAAAGTTACAACAACTACACAACCGTCTGAAATTGTGGTTCTGGCATCAGACAAAAAGGTTCTTAGCAGGAATAACAGATGTCGCTGTGTGTAGTAGAAACGCGGTAACGAAGTTTTTCAGCGGTGTATAAGTCGCTAAGTAACTTCAAAACGGATATGTGATATTATCAGATAATTTCATTAAATTATAACAGCCAATTTTTTTGTAAACACCACCCAGCTTGGATTGCGGACAAGGTGGTGTTAAAAACTGAATCGAATGATTTTAATAATTATGGTCTACTCACATTAAACGATAATATGTTATATTAAGAACTTATTCCAAGAAGTCTAGGACTTAAAACAGTACCTATACAAATCCGTTTAAAGTTACAACGACTACACAACCGTCTGAAATTGTGCTTCTGGCATCAGACAAAAAGATTCCTAGTAGGAATAATAGATGTCGCTGTGTGTAGTTGAACCGCGGTGACGAAGTTTTCCCAGCGGTGTATAAGTTGTTAAGTAACTTCAAAACGGTAAGTATTGTAAGTCTTAATCTGTGATATTAGATTTAAGCTTAAATAAGTATGTCAGTGATATAGAATTTAACCTATAAAATTATAACAGGAAATTTTTGTAAACATCACCCAGCTTGGATGGCTGCCTCGGTGGTGTTAGAAACTGAATCAAAACCAATGACAATTTAGTTGGTATAATCTTCTAAATCTTACAGCTATTATCAATTTTAGTATCTACTTAAGTATTTAAAAAGTCTAGGACTTAAAACAGTACCTAAACAAATCCGTTTAAAGTTACAACAAATACACAACCGTCTGAAATTGTAGTTCTAGCATCAGACAAAAAGATTCTTAGTAGGAATAATATAATATGTCGCTGTGTGTAGTTGAACCGCGGTGACGAAGTTTTCCCAGTGGTGTATAAGATGTTATGTAACTTCAAAACGGATATGTGATACTATTTAATAAGTTAAATTTAAGTTATCTTATCAGATAATTTGACAAATTAACAGCAAATTTTTGTAAACACCACCCAGCTTGGATTGCTGACAAGGTGGTGTTAGAAACTGCATCGAATGGTGTTATAGTCTACTCACATTAAAAGATAATGTTATATTAAGTATTCAAGAAGTCTAAGACTTAAAATAGCATCAATACAAATCCATTTAAAGTTACAACAACTACACAACCGTCTGAAAGGTTCTGGCATCAGACAAAAAGATTCTCAGTCGGAATAATAGATGTCGCTGTGTGTAGTTGAACCGCGGTGACGATGTTTTCCCAGCGGTGTATAAGTTGTTACGTAACTTCAAAATAGTAAGTATTGTAAGTCTTAATCTGTGATATTAGATTTAAGCTTAAATAATGTCAGTGATATAGAATTTAACCTATAATTTATAACAGGAAATTTTTGTAAACATCACCCAGCTTGCACTGCTGACAAGGTGGTGTTAGAAACTGAATCTAAAATGGTATGCTAGTGATAAAGATTTTATAATTTAAAAACAGCAAATTTCTGTAAACATCACCATGATTGGGGCTTGGTACGTATTATTGAATGATTCAGCATACATTCATTGACTTTATGTAAAACACAATGAACAATCTATAAAAAGATGATATCCCGGGCTTAGTCAAATCCTAGTTTAGTCATTTCAATTCACTCCAATGTACCATAGACAAAATGGAGGATTTGACCTACACCCCACACTTTGGCCAGTGGTTGGGGAGGCCTGATGTTTACGTTATGCCCGTTTTCACCATCAATCCATAATCTATAAGTGACCCTTATGGTAACACATCAGATATTTTGTTTTCATAGGGGTCACTTAAAAATTAGGGATTGATGGTGAAAACTGGCATTAGATCCCTTAGTCGCCTCTTACGACATCCATGGGAAGAAAGGGAGTGGTCGTATTCTACTATGCCGGGACCACACGGCTTCTTCTTAAGCCACATAGAACGAGCCAGCTATTGACAAAATTAGTATAGGATTCAAACAGAAAACGATCAAAAATTAATAAAAGCTATTTTTATTGGCGGTACAAAGTTCTCCGGGACCACCATAAAATGGCTGAACACGAAGTAAAGAAAGACATCGATATGTACCTAGTATTGAATACCACGTGGGTGCTTGCGAGCAAATTCTAGTAAAGTAATTTATTGCTATTAAAAAACAATCAGTAGCCCCAAAAGTAACAGAGGCACTGTTTTTGTCTAAGGATAGAACTTAGCAGGTAACAATTTAAAAGAAATTTAAACCACCATAGCTCAGGTAGAAATTATCACCCAATCGACAAAAAAAGTAAGGTTTCGACGCTCCAAGCCGCCGCCATTTTAAGTTAGATTATGTTAGCATTAGTATGTACCTACCTACATTCTTTACTTTTACTTTGTAACACTATTTATTGTGTACTTAATGAAGTAACAATTTAGATGCCTACTTATTAATTAATTAAGAATTTAAAAAGGATATGAAAAAGGGAGAGTAGACTACATATTTTCTTTAAGATTTGACTAAAACCCTGGATGTCGCCATTTTTTATAAATTCAGGAACAACTCTTTGTTATTGACGCTAATATTAGAAACGTAACAAAGAAAATGCATGTTGTAATTATTATTGTTCATTAAGTAATACAATTTAAACAAAATGCTTCCAATATTGTTAAGTTTATTATTAAAATTTTGTTTTCTTGCACCGTTTTGTTGTGGTGCTAAGTTTGACTCAAAACAAGATGGCGGCGGATTCAGCTGCGAGCAATAACAAAGAGATTCCAGAAAATTGATACCAAAACCGTTTATGAGAACAAAATAATAAAGAATGTGAGAGGATATGAATACGAGTAGGTATAATCATGATTAGTAAGTAAATTGAGTTGATATTTCAAGGCTACATTGAATTTTTAATCTTAGGCCCGGTTTCTAAATTGTGATTTCCAGCTTTCGTCTTCTACCCAAGAATGAATTTCATATGAAAAGTTCATAGTTGATTACAAGATCTCCAATACTAAAATATCAATTCAGAAACCGGGCTCTATTCTCTTTTTAATAAAATACATTATTTAATTATTCTATCGGTACCTTTTCATCGCTCTTCTCACAAACAACAGAAATAAATGATGCGAAATGATTTCAAATATGGCCACTTACTTGTAGTTTAGGAGCCAGGTACCAAACTGGCTACATGGTGCTGGAGTGTGACGTCTGCTGTCCTTGGTGAACTATACTGCACTGGTTTTATTTTCTCCAAAACCAGCGGCCCTGTGAGACAATTTAGGGCCAAGCTAAGGGAATAGGGCTAGTTGCTTTCTCGTTCTTACTTATAGCCGCGTCCCTTTCTCACTATTTCGGATAGGCAAACAAAGGATGCGGGCGATGCAAAAAAATCGATTGTCGATAGTATTGAATGCACCCTAAAAGTCATGTATTGATTTTGGTACAACCGTTTTATTATTATTAGCGATAGTGAAGTTTGATAGAATATATCGATATTATTGAATACAGTATCGAGATACTTAAAAGTTAATGAAAGAGTAATATTATTTTCAAAATTAGCGAATGGTATTGGTGGAATTCTCTGTTTTGCCCAAGGGCAGCTGGGTAAAGAATGCCACATGGCATAAAGTTCGCCTTTTTATGCCGTTTTTTTTGTGTGTGCAATAAAGTGTTTCAATAAATAAATCCAACTATTGAAAAAAATGATTGCCTTGTACCTTTACTTCAATTAGTTGTTAAGACAAAAACTACAGAGTACTACTGTAATACACAACCCAACAGAAGAAGTCATCGTTTGTAGGTACATTATTTTAAAAAGTCAATTTTTGTTTTTCTTCACAAGCGGTATACATTTTGTTAAGAAATAAGTCTTATCTTTTCTATAGTACCTAGTTTGGTAGTTACATACTTACGTATTAAGTACGTAAGTAGTACTTACGTACTTAATACGTAAGTATGTAATTCATTTCTTAAGTACTTACTAAGTACTTAAGAAATGTTTTCACTCTTTTCCAGACTATCGATAAAATGCATACCTAGTTAATACAACACTAGCACGGCTAATAGCGAGGCCTGCACTGCTATGCGGCCGTTCCTCTGTTCTCTCTTTCTCACTCCCCTTATCTTACATCTTTCGTCACTTTCCAAGATTGCATTACATTTACACAGAGAATAAATAAAAACAGCTGTACGGAACTTTCTGGAAGGGCGGACCCCACGTAATCTATGAGGGGTACGTGGCAGGGGGTTCCTTTGAGGGGTGCTCGTACCAAATTACACAAAGGCCTGAAGATTGACCATTAGAAAAACATGACTACCTGGAATACAATGCAACCGTCGATAACCGATAGTTTGGACAGTTTTAAAAATGCAATTTTTTAACGACTGAACGTTGCGTTGTGAACGACGGTAAAAACAAGCTACAATAATTATTATAGTAATGAAAATGAAAATTTTCTATTATAAAATAGGTAGTGCATTGTTTACCAAATTAGGTTCTTTGTGTCGTGCTCTCGTGGAATACACTCTTCCATGAAAATAAATTAAAAATTACCCCGGTAGACTATTACAACAAACCGTTCTGAATAACTACTAGATAGCTAAGTAGGTATGTAAAATAATTAGCAGGGTTTATAAATTCAAGCATTTAAAGTTACGTTTTGAAATGTAATTATTTAGATCACCTGATTCTCGATAAACAGTAAGTTTCAGGCATTCATGTCCCCTAAACTATAAAATTGAACCCAAAAAAAAATTTTTTTGCGTATAAATGACATTATTTCACATACTTAGCAGTTCTGGAAGTTTCCGTTTAGAATCTTTACAATTATTTACATTAATTATAATTATCTAGGACGCTGGCATCCGTATCACTTAATGAGTAATTAATAACAAAGCCACTAGCAGTTAGGTATTTGGTTAACAATAAAATCATTTGAGGACCGTACTACAAACACTTACTTGATATTTTGACACACAATTACCTACCTCACAATCACTACATACAATGCAAGTAAATATACTTACTTATCTAATTATTATTACAAATTGGTACACTGTTCTTAATTCAACAAATTTAATAAACTCGCTGAAGAAATTCTCTCAAATAATTCCAGTCCTCCCTCCTCTTCTCCTACACCTCCTGTNTAGAGGTTCCTTAAGAGCATATGACGATTTGTAAGAACTATTTATTAGTCTAAACAAATAAAGAAATTTTGACTTTGACTTTACTATAACAGAGCTCTATTCAATGCTGTGCGTTCAATTTGCTGCTTCACTTAAGCAAGCATCGTTTGTGAATGCGGGCGTAAATGTAGACGGATTGTACAGCGCAGCGTTCCAAGCTGATACATTTAAAAACTAAAATCTTCATAGATTTTTGACTTGCACTCGCTAGCGACGACGTTCAATGCAAACTTGCTCATTAAGTATTTACTATGCTTGCACTAAGCGCACTGTAGAGTAAAACTCAAGAAAAAGGATAATGTTTTCCGAGTGAATGGCCACACCCGCAAGATTTTACCACCAGCCTTGCCTAGGCTGTTTAATCCACGAATCCTTGGCAGTTAGCGCTGTTATGTAACTTGATGCTAATACAGCTTGATACGGTAGCGCCACTAAGTATCTATTTACCGGTTTTTGATACATTTCAGAGCCTGATAACCGGGTTTACGCCATCCTTTCTTCTTCTTCAGCAAAAGTTTCTAATATGTGAGGCCAAAAGTAGTGAAAGTTTGGTTTTACAGTACGAAGCTCGAACCGCACTGGAAGTCTCGAAGAAAATGTATGAACTTGCCTAAAAACGCTACAGTTTATTTGAAGAAGTCAAAAGGTTTGACCTAAAAAATCTGACCCAGAAGCTGGATATGACTTGCCACCCCCTAGGCCAGCTGGCTACGCCCATGCTCATGTTACTCATCATGGCCTAATGTTCTGCCCTTGAGGGAGAGCCCCGGATATTTTACCCACTTATTAATAAAATTAATCAAGTCCGAGCTGCGTTTTAGGACCGATACTACTCACACTCAGTTCCATTATGGTGTCACGGTGATCCTTGCCAGACTGGTTCTGTTGCAGTTAGAATGGCATAGAAAAACTGTGTCTTTGACCCTTCGTACTTGATAATACCTACTATGTAGTAGTGCATAAACAGCTTCTAATTATCATTCATTATGTAACCAACGAACCTAGTTACTTAGGTTTGTTTTCTGTACTGTATAGTTCATCACGAGTAGCTTTACCTTTGAAGTTGCAATATCCTACTTAGTTACATTCTTATTCCTGAGTCCTGTAAATTGCGACAGTGATGCCCGTTTTCACCTTCAATCCCTAATTTTTAAGTGACCCCAAGATCTAGTGATTGATGGTGAAAATGGGCATGAATCGACGATCTGGTGAAGGTAGCGGGAAGCACCTGGATGCGGGCAGCGCAGGGCGGTCTTTGTGAAAATCCTTGGGGAGGCCTTTATCCAGCAGTGTTAGTATTAGATTAAAACTAAGGCTGAAATATTTCCACTTTCACTGCCACTTCTTCTCCGCACCAGCCTGAGAGTAGGCGCACACCGTTGATTTTTAGTTGGCCGATAGTTGTGCCCGATTTTAAATTGTATGAAGAATCGGCTAAATCGAATCGACGTACTTAGTATGCGCACTCCCATACATGTCCATACTTATCAACTGCCCGACTAAACTATCGGCCGACGAAAAATCAACGGTGTGCGCCTACTCTAATGTTGATTTTCTGAAGGTGCAAGTTCTTGCTTTGAAAAGGGCCTCATACTAACACATAGACACTGGGAACATGAGAGAAAAAGTGGGGTCTTCCTTCAGGCGTTTCGCACTATACACGAGTAACTATTTACAGGGGACTTTTCAAAGGATCCAACCTTTTGACAGTAATTGTTTAAAATTGCGTCATTCGTTGTGGCGTTCATCAACGTTTTATGAATAAAAGTCAATGCAAATAGGCTTTTAAAAAGCGCTTTTCCACGTCGCTTTATCGCTGTCATGTCATTCAAGGTAGCAACTTTTGACATCATGAAGAGAACTTTTCACACGTGGTTCGACGTCCTTAATTGGACCATAAAATAATAACGACCCTCAAACATTTTTATGAACTGGTTCACCATTGGCACCTTCTACCTTCATTTTGACAGTCATTAGAAGCAGTTAGTAGCAAGTTTTCCTTCCTCTTACTAATCTGTCAGCACGTAGCTTGTATTAGATTTATAACGAGGTAGCTGTCAGTTAGCTTGCGAAATTTTTAGACTAACTTGTGTTTTTAGTATTCTGCAGGGAGACCTAAATCATGGAGCTCAAGGCCTCGTCGAGGTTCCGGCAGATGAAGGTTAAGATAACCAGTTTCTGTGGTTGAGGGTTCCGGGTGGAGCTCGCTTCCACCATCGCAGCTTCGGCTTGATCATTACTTTCCATCAGGTGAGATGCTGGCCAGAGCTTCCACGTCGAGTAATAAAGAAAATCTCGCCTTACCAAAACAAAAATTCAACACCAGTGTCTCTCTATTATTTGCTAACGGCCGTCCGCGATTTCGTACGCGTGGATCCCGTTTTACCCTTAGGGATTGGAATTTTGCAAATTCCCGTCTCAGTGAGCACCGACATTCTTAAAGGAACCCCCATACAAAATTTGAGATTCCTAGCACTTGTTGTTTCTGAGATTTCGTGATGAGTGATTGAGTCAGTCAGTGACCTTTCGCTTTAATAGATATAGAATTCTGCAGGGAGTGCTACATCAGTGAGCTCAAGGCCTCGTCGAGGTTCCGGCAGATGAAGGTTAGATAGCAAGTTCCTCTGTGGTTGAGGGTTCCGGGTGAAGCTCGCTTCCACCATCGCAGCTTCGGCTTGATCATCACTTTCCATCAGGTGAAATGCAGGCCAGAGCTTCCTAGTCGAGTAAAAAAGAAAATCTCGCCTTACCCTATTATTGAATCAAAACAAAAATTCAACACCAGTGACTCTTACGCCCGTATTCACAAACATTGCTATGAAGTCTCACAGGGCTCGTGGACGCATAGGGCCACACACGAACCAAACACAGAGCTCTATTCAATGCTGTGCGTTCGATTTGCTGCTTCACTTAAGCAAGCATCGTTTGTGAATACGGGTGTTATTATTTACTAGCGGCTGCCCGCAACTTCGTACGCGTGGATCCCGTTTTACCCCCTTAAGTAGGGGTTGAATTTTGCAAAATCCCGTCTTAGTGAGCACCTACGTTCTAAAAGGGATACCCATGCAAAATTTAAGACTCCTAGCAC